TTTGCAGTAACACAGTAAAAATTGTGGCTCTTAGCCTCTTGACAGATTGGCCACCCCTGATATACATTGATCAGCAATATTTTATCTTAAATTGCACCAGGCCATGGTTTAAGTTGGAGCCGTTTCTAGCTAATAAGTAGGATTGACCTGGACAGTCAAATTCAGATGACCTTTCACAATCTCCTGTGGCAAACCCAAAGTTACTCCATTGAAACTTTATGACCTTTCACAATCTCCTGTGGCAAAGCCAAAGTTACTCCATTGAAACTTCCAACACTTCCAAACATCCATTCTTCTACATGTTTTTGAAATGCAGAGCATTGTTGTTTGTCCTGAAACCAAAGAAGCCATTAGATCACAGTGACCTCCAGCTGGTATATTACAACTGTTGATTTGTGGGTTTTTGTTGGCCAGCTGAATGACTGTTACTGGACTGAAACCCCTGTGAACTGGGTCAAGTTGCACATTTGTGCTCTATTATTAGAAACGTCATAAACTGATCCCATTTCACACTTTGTCCTTTGAGTATTCGTGTAAAAAGGAAAAGGCCGGGGGGGGGGACTACCATAGACTGTGTAAAAGAAGGGAATGATTTGATTAGAAAAAAAACATCCCTTGGCCTGCTTTGGATTACGTCAAATTGTTATTTAAAAAACACGACGTCAGTTGTGTAAATGATCCTCACATTTATAGAGAGATGGAAGATAAATTGTGAAGCAGCACGGAATACGATTGGAAACAGTGTGTGATTCATTGTTGGTTTGTACAGTCTGTTGATGACGGATGTTACTGACATCATGATGTCTGCAGTGGACCGAGCTCAAACGCTGAAGACACATGGTTTTGAATATTGTCTGGTGAATATCTGCAGGTCAGGGTTACCTGCTGCATGTACCTGTTCTGGTTCTGGTGACAACAAGGCCTTCTGTGTTCCCTCTGCTCTGAGAACCTCGTGATTGACTGTTCCTCTGTGTGATGATTTGCAGAGTCAAAGTGTTGTGGTGTTTCCTGGCTCCACACTGGCAGCACACAGCAGGTCGGTAGCACCAACCAATGGGAGCCAGAGACCCAGGTCTCATGGCCTGGGGCTCCAGTATCCTTCTCCACATCCAAGAGAAGCCTTTGCAGGAAGTCTCAGATAATTTAACGTTGCACAGCGCCTCGACATTGGCCCATCACGGCTGATTGTGCAATGGAAATGGAAGATTTATAACTCCAGCAGGAGCCACTAATCACTGGAGACGTGAGGGGGTGGAAGGATGAGCAGAGGCGGGATACATGAGTGTCCACGGTTGACCAAGTCCAAGTGAGTACTCACGGGCCTGCTCGCCAGCCTTGTTCTCATTCTTTAAGGTACACAGGCTGACACGGAAGCTCACACACGTGCAAACATGCTCAACCTGACATAACGACATAACACACAGGCAAACACACACACACACACACACACACACACACACACACACACACACAATCCTCATATGCCTCCTTCAACACGATGACTGTCTTGGGAGGATGAGCGGAAGCCATCACATATGTTCTCCTCCCTCCTCTGTCCTGCTCTTTGGCGGTTTCTGTCTCACATGTGTGAGTGGCTGAAAACAGACATACGAAGAGGCAGAAAATAGAGGAGAAATAGATTTGCAGGTGGCTTAAAATAACAGAGAGGATGAAATGAAAGCGAGGGTTTGTGTCCAGCATCTTTGCGAGTCATTGGATGAAGGATGACAAAGAGGAGCGCGGTGCCAGGAGGAGAAAGAAGGAGAAGAAGAAAAGCAGTGGTGTTACATTAAGTTTCTCATGGGTCTGTTTCATGTGATGAAACCCAGTGGCTGGAGACTGTTTTTTCTCTTTCTTTTCCTTTTTTTTCTTTCTTCATCTCTCAGCCCTCAGGACATGTCCCCGACAGACTCTTATTGTCAAATTTAAGAAGATGAGAATTAACAAGATGCAGGGTTGTAGGAGCGCTCACCAAGGTCTTGTCAAATAAGTCTGACATCTACGACGATGAGCCGCCAGACAGATTTCCTGATTCCTTTTCCTCCTCCTGTGCCGAATACTAGACATAACCCCCCCCGTCCCCCTCCCCACACACTGTTATTATTACCCCCATTATAATGTTATGTTTACTCTCACTATCTCACACTCTAACAGCAGTGTCCTTCCCCATCAGCCTCCGTACAGAGGAGTCTTTGATGTAATCTGTGAGCTGCCTCCTCAGTTCATAGTAACAGTGTGCAGATGGAGCCGGTGGTGCAGAGCTCAGGGCCCAGTAGGAGGAGGACATGCTTTAATTTCCACGGCCCTCTCTTGTAGAGATGACCTTCACACCTCCAGCGATCCATCAAGATGTTTTCCGCCTGGAGCTGCTGGAGTCGGAGCTGGCTTTTCAAAATAAACGTTTTGCAGCAGAGAGCAGGCTTCCCTCCAGTTTGGTTCATCAGCCAATCGAAAGCCGCTGTACTGTTCTATTCTGTTTTTGTCAAGTGTAGGTCACGGGTGATAAACATACGGCCCGTGGGCCAAAACCGACCCACTAGGGGGTTCAGTTCAATTTGTGAAAAAAATGCACACACTTCAACACTTCATGTTGGTGTTCCATCCATCCATCTATTTTCATCCACTTATCCGTTACCGGGGCAGCAGTCTCCACCCAAATCACATTGCAGAATTAAGTTGATACAAAACACTATGGTAGGCACGTTAAAAACAGTAAATAGCAAAAAAACAAACAAACAAAAAAAACCAAACAGACGACTGCACAAGGAGCAAGTTTTTCTTCCTTTTGACTCATTTTTGAAAAACAAGCTATGAACTGCTGGGAAGCCAGCCTGTACAGTACTTTGAACTCATGGCCAAACAAAAATAATTACTTAGTAAGTTACTAACAAGAGGCATTAAATGCATGTTGGATTATGTACAGCATACAATTTGACTGCATCCGGAGTCAGACTGCAGCTTCAAACTGTTTTTTAATGCCTTAAAGAGATCTCTGGACTTGTTTTTTTATGCCATTTTTACCATTGGAATGATTCATAACTGGAAATGTTTTCAAATGGAAACGATGTAGTGCAGCTGCTAATGTAACCACAGGTTGTATTCATCCGCAAATGCACCATTTTTAGCCGCGCGCCAATGACGTGGTCCACTTGAGAGCTCTTGGCTGAAGTCCCTGGTACTGTAATCTGTGCTTTTAGTGGCAGTACCTTCTGTTTGCCGAGAGCCTGAGAGGGTGAAGTCAGCGAGCACTTCAAAACTCTGACCAATGTTTTCTTATTGCCCTTTGCCCACAGAGAACGGTGTATTGAGAGACGAGCAGTTATTTCAAGAATGTTTTCTGCAGCTCAACCTGCTTTTATAATCACAGCTAAGAAGCTGGTGTGTGTGTGTGTGTGTGTGTTTTCATCCATTCATAGTATCTATTCATTTCTAAAATTAATGTTAAATCAATAAAATCAGAAAAGGGTGTAGACTACTATTAGCAAAGTAATAAAATACTTGTGAAAAGCTTGTTTTCTACAGATTAATGAAACTAAAACCCATGTTTTTGGCTGACTTTAACAACCCGCCATCACAGTACACCCAATCACATCTGATCTGTAAATTTGACCGCCTTTAAAATGCACCTCTATGGTGAAAGAACAACATTCCAGATTTATTGGTTTACATGGTGGACGCTAATACTATCATTACAATTGGACATGGTTTATTATGACAACTATTAGCACTAATACAATAATAGACCCTAATAGGGGCTGTGCAGAGGGCTGGGTTTGGTTTCGACGCAGCTAATGCCCACTGAGCAGCTGCAGCAGGGGCCCAGTGGGGTCAGATGTACAGTAACACTTGACCCTGAAACTCCCTCACCCGGTCTTGCAAACACACACTCTGTAGGTGTGTGTGAGTGTGTGTGTTGAAGCAGCCGACCAGCCTCCCTCTCGGTCCGCTCCCTGCAGACCAGCAGAAAGGGCAGTAACCTCTGAAGGCTTTGTTTGGTTGGCCGGAGTCTGAGCATAGGCCCGCTATTGTAAGTCTGGGGACTCCTGCGCTCCAGCTCTTGTTTTCTTTGGGAAGCAGGAAATTGGATGACTGGCTACCTGCTACAACAACATCCTGTACTTGAGAAGCCGTCTCTTCACCCATACCCACCTATTATTTCCCTTTTCCATCGTACGCAAGTGGTCAGCCAGTAAACCTTTCTTTTTTTTTTCTTTCTCGTCTTGGGGGCCCTGTGCGTGGGTTTGTCTAGGTTCCACTCAGGTGGAGATCAAATTGGCCCCATCCAGATGCTTCCGTTCAAAATAGTGTGTGGGGGCCAAATTCTTTTAGCTTTTGGAGGCAGACTCAACCTTGTCAGGTTAAAGGCTCTTTGTGAGCTGACTGAGATGACAGTGATGGTGAGCATGAACAAATGTTTCTGTTCTATGGTCCCCTCTCCTGTTCCCTCTCTATCTATCTCTCTTTCTCAATCTCTCTCCCTCTCTCTCTCTTCCTCCTTCTCTCTCTCTATCCCTCTTTGTCCCACATATACAAACACACACACACACACACACACACACACTCAGATCCCAGGTCCAAGTGTTGGTCAGGTCACTTCAGACCATGCTGGGTCTACAGGAGACCACTTGCCACTGAGAAAACCTCCTTCAGGATTACACTGCATCAGACATGATTTAGGTCGGCGTTGATTATTGCTGATTCTGTCGTGACCTCATGGATATCCGGCCGTCGTATGAGATGTTAATTAAGATAATTGTATAGTCATTTAGAGAGATTTTGGATGAAGTTTAAACTGACACTGAAACTGGAGGTGCAGGTACATAGATATTCATGTGTCTTAGTGCTGTTTACCTAGTATGAAAAATGAACTCTTATTTTGGTTTCACTTATTTTATTTATTATTATTATTATTATTATTCTTATTATTATTATTATTATTATTATTATTATTATTATTATTATTATTATTATTATTCAGTCTTCCTTCATGTTAGCGGAGAACGTTCTCGTACTTCCCCCACAGTCAGTAGTCAGTGGTCATATGTTTTTGCTCTGATTTTCACAACACAACACATGAAGTACTAGTAAGTAATAATTACTTTTTCAAACAGGCTTAATATATATTAGAAACAGAGTAAGAGAGAGAATGAACTTGTTACTTTGCTTCACATTGCTATTTGTTTCATTTCTATTTGTTCTAAACAGACAAAAAGTGAGCGACTCTTAAACTACTTTGGCAGATGGCTAATTTGGAAAGCTAACTTCCGTTTCCGGCATTTTCGATAACAAAACAAAATAATTTTATTAATCTTGATTATTTCTGAACCTTTAGACCTGTATTTGTCTGTCATTTAATTAAAAAGTTAGTTAAAAATTGAAGCTAAAGGTTGGTTTAAAAAAAATCCAATTAGTCTGGTGAAAATTAATTCAGAAAATTAATAACATTTCCTTTTTTTAATAAGGAAAAATGTGACACAATTATGTTATTAATTAAGCATATATGGACATGAATGAATCCATCTTTTGATCAGTGCCATTTTCAGAGATTTATTATTATATATATATAGATTTATTTATTATTTCTGTTATGCTATGCTATGTCAGCCAGATGCACGGTCATCCTGTTTTTGTCGTAATTTGTTGTTACTGTCAGTTTTCACTGGCTGTGTCACAGGGAGATCCCGCCCCTCATATTAATCATAGCTGTAAATGTCAGATCACTTGACTGAAAAAACACCCTGCCAGGGAACAGAACGCTGCGCTAGTTTCAATTCCTGCATCTCAGATATTACTATTAAAGACGCTTTGTTTTTTCTCACAGACCTTACAGACCAGAACAGCAGCCCATGAAGACGACTGGGCCTTAATGTTAACTGCCACCAGCAGAGTAAATAAAAGCAAAGCCCTCATCAGTTATTTCATTCTATTCTCTGTGTAACTATAATCAGATAGAGTTTGTCCTAACCATCACCACATGATAAAGCCATCAGCCAAGAACACAGATTGACCCAACTGTCCAGTATTATCCCGGATGGAAGAAATTATTGAGATTTTTCTTTTTATCCCGTTTTTGCAGAAGATGATTTATTCTATTTGCAGAAACAGGCAACATCTGTATTTTATCAATAACTTTCAGCATGTATAAAAAGAAGAGTAAAAATGTTTAAAGGAGGAGAAAACAATTTTCTAGGAAAAGAGACAGAAATCAATAAAACAGAGTCGAAGGCACTTATGGATTGGCAAAAAAAGTTGCCAAGTGCAGAGTTTTTCCAGGTGGTTGTAGTTGGTAAAAGGCGGAGATTTCGGATTTGGCACCCGGAGAGATCGATGGTGTCACGGTCTGATAAGACATCACTGATGGTGCAGCTTCCAAATGACTGTGTCACTGATCTACAATGACCTGTTAGATCAACTCCTCTCCAGATACGGTGGTCATCGATAGAAGTTCATCAAATCACACAACTATTTACAACGAAAGATGGCAAAGAAGAAGCTCAGTGATTTCATCCTGGGAGTTATGACAATAGTAATAAAAAGTCTGTATGATATTTGCTATGGCAGCTGTTTAAGGTAGCATCAAGCCGCACGAGTGTCCACTTGATGGCAGTCTCTTTGCATCACAGGATGATTACAGATTCTATTCTTTTTTTTCCCCCATCATGCCAGCCTTCCTGTTTGTTCATTCAGAGCTGGGCGACGCAGCAGAGTCTATGTCATCATTCTCCAGGTCGTTTGGAGAAGCCGACTGTCCTCCTTTCACTCTCTTCCACTTCATCCTCCTGTTCTGAAACCACACTTTCACCTGGGGCACAGAAACACCACAAATGGTCACTTCAGACTGACTGAGGCAAATTCACTGTTTTTGATTTCACCGTTTGCCCTTAGGAGTTAAAGTACACAGCAGTAGCATCAGAAGGAGCGCTGCGTTTAAATTAAATCTCCTCCTGAAACCTATATGTGGATTGAGTTTTTTGGAGAGACTGGAGTGCAGGATTGTAAAGTCATCATTCAGGATGTAATCTATGGTCTGTTCCTGGATGAGAATATCAGGCCGTGAAACTATTTCGCTAAAAATAGTAACATGCTCTTCCTTATGCAAAAAGCATACGTTTCCAATGTAATTAAATATCCTCATTTATAATGACGTAGATCGTGTAAAACATAAGGAGTGTGTGACATCTATTGTACATTTCCAGTTGGGACACCAGTCAGATGGATGTGTTCTGAAAGCTGTTGTTGTCCAGGGAGCATTTTTAATATTTCGCCATATTCGAAAGAGAGAGTTCCTTCCCTTGACTTTTGTTTCTTTGTTAAAGCCACATTTTCAGGAAGATATAAAGGTGTGGGTTTTCTAGTAGACAAAGCTTTTAGATTTTACACAATGAGATTGTTGTTTATGCCTGTGATTTAAATGGGAAAATGAAACAGGACAACATATGATGTGATTATAATACCACAGGATACTATATGGTACAATCCTATTATTATACTAGACAATGCGATATGATATTACATGATAACAGTACAATGTTATAGGATGTGATATAACTATAAGAACATACATTATGATTAAATACATTAAAACATCATATACTACAATATGATATGATAGGATTAATAACTGCATTTTTTCTGTAAATGTTCATTGGCAAAGCAGCAGGCCTAGCTACATACTATCAGAGGTAAATTAAAAAAAATAGATAAAAATATTTAAATAAATGAGAAGCTGCCGTGCAGCACACTAAAGCTGTAAAATTAGATTACGTTTTTTTTATTAATATTTATGGCAGTTGTGAGACATTAGACTCTTTGTGATTTTTGCTGTTCCCACTTTAAACCGTGAGGTCAGAGACGTGACCTCTGCACGTCCCTCAGAGCATCACTGCTGCGTCGTTGGGTTTCAGATGTATCTTTTCATCTGCATCCACCTCGCTTTAAAGGTCATCTGCTAACAGGTCTTATTGAAAAGACAGAGTCTGGTGGGATTGGTTGGAGAAGTTGCAGTGTAAGGATGGACAGAGATTTGCTGTATGCATCTGCGTGTGTGTGTGTGTGTGTTTGAGGGGTCTGTGAAATAGATTTAGCAGCAGACAGCAGTATGTGTGGTCACTGTGGCACTGTGGCCTCATTAGGAGGAGCTGGGACACTGGTCCTGACAGACAGAGAGACCAACAGACAGAGAGACTGGGGTTTTTATCCAGCCGTGTGGACACATGTTCGCCCGATTTCATCAGGTCTGGAAATGCCGCCCACTCATTAAAAGCTGCATGACATTCTGCTACGACCACAGAAGGAAATATAGTCTGGAAAAAATGTCTCATTGTAATTTAAATTCAGCTCTGTTTATGTCTCCTGTCTAATACTGGACTGGATATAGAATAATATGAAACACCACGCTCAACGAATACTTACCTATACTACGTTGGTGTTTACTGCAGATTAATGTGTTTTCTGTCATTATTTGCTGCACTCCCACAGATGCCCAGGGCCTAGTAGTTCTGGGTATGTGTCTGTGATAAAAGCTGGGTCTGATACCTGTCTTTCTGTGAGGTCCAGGTTGACGGCGATCTCGTAGCGACGCAGTCTAGTCAGGTAGTTGTGGTGAGTGAACTCAGCTTCCAGTTCCCTCAGCTGCTCCTTGGTGAACGCTGTGCGCTCTTTCCGGGCCTTGCAGCTGGAATCCACCTTGAAACTGGAATCCTGGTTATCTGGACAGGAAGAAGATGTCATGTGATGTGAGATATACTCTAAAAAGTGCACGTCATAATGAAGCTGTCCATTCATTTCTTGTGTCTCATATGTTGAAAGCAAATAAATCAGGGTGAATAACCGGTCCTTTCTCTGGGTGGATATCCAGTTTCTCTGTGATATTTTCTCTAAAGTTTATCTGATTGACGTGTCCACTGATTTCTTGACCAGCCGCTGGACTATTAAACAAAGACTTTTAAGAATTTTCCAACCACCAAACCACAGCCCCAAAGACTCTGTAGCTGGAGGCCCCTTATATAGTAAACACCAAAACCAGGACCACCCTGACGTGGGCTCCTGAGATCAGTTCACCTGTACTTGACGTGTACCTGGGTGTGTGTGTGTGTGTGTGTTGAGTAAATTACATTACTTTGGCCTACATTTCTTCCCATTATTTGTCTGTTCAGAGTCTAAAAATACACCGTGGTGCAGCTTTGTGTTGGTCTGTGACGAGTGTGTGAGAGTGTGTGTGCTGAGGCAGGGCAGGGGCCACCAAACCAGCCACAGAGGGACCGAGTTAGGAGAGGAATGCAGCGGAACATCGTTAAAGCCTCTAACAAAAGAACAAAGGTGCGGATGTGTCCAGGTCTCCGTGATCAGTGTGTGTGTGTGTGTGTGTGTGTAGTTTCCTACTGGAACACCTAGAGGAAACTGGCATTAACTCATCCCGACATGACAGCGAACGCTGTTAGCTTTTAAGATGTCTTTATGGACACGGCTGTAGGAGCAAAGTCGGAGGTTGTGTGTGTGCGTTTATTATTGAGGCCAAGAGTCTTTTCCCTGCTGGCGGTTGAATTCTGAACCTCGTTTGCCAGGATAAAAATACATATAAGTAACCGCCTTTTATGTGTAATAATGTAAATTCGTTAACTGTGGTAATTGAGCATTAGCGGTGACACCGGCAGCTGATGTAATCCTCAGAAAAATGCCTCTAATTTGTCAGAGTGAAATGTCGTGCCTGGTGTTTGCCAGAGCGCGGAGCCAGATTCTAGAATGTTCTACCTGCTCCAGATGTGACTGGGCACAGGCAGACACACATTTGTGTGTAGTTCCTGCATATTTGCTGCTGCACCGCGTATTCATCACGCCTGAGAGTACCGCGGCTCAGACGTCAGTAATGACACGCTGCTCTGAGTGTGCGCTGGGCTGAGCTGCGCTGCCTGACCTCCTCAGCTCTGGTTTGGAGAAGGGGTGTGTGTGTGTATGGGGGGGTTAAACCATTTTAGTTGGAGTGAACACCTGGCAGGGCACACACTGGCCCTGGCTGAACAGACCCCCAATAAATATCCTGCACAGCCAGAGGCCGTAAACTTTCAGGGCGAGGGCTTCTGCTCCCAGCAGGGTCCCACAGACTCACAGCATTTGGTGCAGTTCTGGGGTGAATGGTGCAAAAGAGGGCTGTGAGAAACAACACACACACTGAACATAGTTGTGTTTTAGTGACAGTGGAATAAGTAAATAAGTTAACACTGTGTTAATAATAATATTAATATTAATATATAATATGGTAATGTTGGCAAGAGGATTTCCCAACAGTTTAATCTTAAATGGTCTCATTATTCGTGTATTATTGGTCTAAATAGTCATTTAAACACGTTAAACAAGTTTTGTTTAATGTGTTCTTTATTCACATGCATCAATCACTGCAGTAGACAGTGTACTTCAGTTCTCTGAGTCGTTATAACAGACCTTGTAAATGTGCTCAAATATTAAAATATATTTAAAATTCTTATTTAGGAATTCTGTGAACACATCTTAGGCTATTGTTGGATTTCTTATGTGAGAAAGTGCTTTTTAAAGTAGTATATAAATATTTTTTAATGCCCTTGCAACAGACATAGGGACTAAAACAATATGTATGCAGTATTTAAAAAAAGAGAAATACAGGAGGAAAAGTAAGGAAAAGTTCTAGGTGATATATGTTGTGCTCCACCTTGGATTTCATCATCTCTGAAGATTAAATTTGTTATAATTTAATTCAGATTATAAAACCTGCTGCTCTTATGTCACTGCATTTCTGTTATTTTTGTTGTGATTTTCATAGATTTTTATCCATAACAATTGCTGCACAGATCAAACTCACTGGAGACTTTGCAGGATTTGAAATACAAGAGTGAAGTATGATACTGAACATAATGTGCAGTATTATAAAACATACTGTTAGGGTCTTATCAGATTGATCAGATGCACATGTGCTGTGGTGGGAACATGTGACTTCACATCACAGTCACATACGGGCTGTACGTGCAGCTCTGTCTGTAATATAAATGCCTGCAGGACATTTTCCTAATATATGCTCAGCTCTTTCTTCAGTGAACGACTGAATGGTTCATTTCTTGAAAAAAAAAAAATTCAAGAACTGATGTAGTGGTCAGAAATGTTGCTCGCACTCCGTGGGAGATTGTGTTACGGCTTAACGACAGGAAAATGTCAATGGATAAGAATGTAAAAAGTGGGCTCGCGGGCAAGTGATTTTACCAGACGTGGTCTGGCATGTTTTCAGTGGCGTGATCGGAGGTTACAATAAGGTAAGTACAGAAAGGAGGCAGGGGAGAGCAGTGGGCGGGGGGTGAGAGGGGTCTCTACTCCCCCACAGTTCTCTGCAATCAGCATTATGACTGTTGCAAAAACTACACTGGTCGTTAAATTCCTACTGAATAAGTGCTTTCACAATATTCAACCAGATTTCTCCTGTTGTTTTTGGAAAAATCTTTTCATTTTCAGCAGTCTTACTTCATCACCTCGGAAAAAAATCTGCAGCAAATTTACCCATCACTCATTGTGAATGTTATACAAAGGAAACAAAAAATAGTGCAAATACTGGATTATTAAATGTACAGTATTTTTTCGTATTTAAGTCGTAGTTAATTGTAGTTTATTGAGATTTCATTACATTCAACTGTGAGTACTGTAATTTTTATTTTTTTTTATTTATATTATTAAGTATTATAGTCCTGAGTTCACCGCACTCTTCTATTTTTTTTCCATCCAAAACTGCAAAAAACAAAAAAGAATTCTGGTAATTGTGGGTATGTGTTCAAAATGTAAAGATTTGTATAAACTTGATTATAAAAAGATTTTTTATTACAAAGTCACAGGCGGCGATCGTCACAATAATGTCGACTGTTATAATAATCGATCGATCAATTTAGTAACAGATTGTCTTTGCAGCTGTAGTATTTTGGCCACTAAGGAAATAAGATCGACTTTTAAATTCTCTGAGTTTGTTTGGCATTTAAAATGTTTTATTTTTTATTGATTGACGCATGTGATTACAGGGACATAAATCCTACAGGGAAATGTATTATCAAATAATTGAAATCACCTTATTTGCTTTTCATTGAATAAAAACAAGCATTTTCCACACAGTATTGTGAAGCACCTGTGTGAGGATTATGAGGTCAGTATTTTATCAGCATCATGAATGTCTCCGCGCTTCCATAAACACAATAGTCTATTTCCAACGGATACGGTGGCGCAATGAAACGGTCAAATGCCTCATTATTCATTTCAGCTTTTTAAAAGCCCTTGAAACAATCAGAGGATGCAAGTGCAGCTTCAAGTGTGCGTCTGCAGCACAGAAGTGTGTGTCACCTACTCACCTTTCACATAGCTGTCTGCTGAGAGTGTTCTTTAGCTAGAATGTCAGAGCCAGATGTGATACAGGATGTTGTAGAAATTCTTAGCAGCAAAGTCCATGTGGGATGGGAAATTTTTGTGTAATTCTGGTCTGTTTAATTTGAGATTTATTTTCTTTTTCTTTTTATTCTAGTCAATGTGCTTTTTAGTTTTTCAGCAGTCAATGTGATGATCCCTGGAACACGTCCATGTTTCCTTCTTATCTTCTCTCTCTAATTCCATCTATAGAGACTACTGTCCTGTCCTAATGCTCTCAGATGTGACTTCAGGAAACAAATCTTTCCCTGTCCTAGAGTTTCTGCCTAGAGTTTCTGCCATGGTTTTTTAGGAATGTAAAAATGTTAAATGGAGACATTGTGTATTTTGTCATGTGGTTTTGAAAATAGAAAATATGGAAAATGTCAATCAATCTATCATGAATTCAAAACTGAAATTGATATTATATTTCTTGCTTATGATATTTTTGGGCTATTGAATTTAGTTGTAGACGAGTGTATCAGAGATGGAGCAGTGGATTAGAGATCAATAACAGGAGCAGTGGTTGCAGCCTGGTCTCATTTCTCCCAGTTCACCAGGACTCACCTGCAGCATCTCTCTTCCTCTTACTGGAGCTCTTCTTGTCCGAGTCGCCCGACGCCACACTTTGGGGCGAGTACTCTCCCTCCAGGCAGCCTGGCCCAGCACCTGGCAGTCTCTCCCCACCTACACTGTCCATCTCAGGCCCTCCACTTCCACCACCGCCACCACCTCCACCGTTCACTGCTGCCGGGGTGACCACAGGTGGGCAGGCCTCGGGCGCTCTCACCCTGGTCTCGCAGGGGTTGAACTGCCAGTCAGCCCTCTGGTACCCACCCTGGCTCTCCTGGTACAGTCTGTCGTCTCGAGGGTAGGCTGCGTGTGGTGTAGTTGGCACGAGGCAGGAGCTGGAGAAGTCCGTGTAGGCCAGGAACTCGGGCTTCTGGTGCAGGGAGAACGGGCCCTGCTGGTAGGGCGACTGTAGGTTGGCACCAGAGTGAGGATTCCTCATGCAGCCCCAGATCGGGCCGCTGGGATGGGCGCTCCGCATGCAGCTGCTGGCCGGCTGATCCATGCTGATGCACAAATACTTTTCTTTACTAAGTTCTTGCTGTAAAGTCAGTGTCTTCAGAGCAGCATCCAGTTCATGGGACTAAATGATCGTCCAATGCACGTCCAACGTCGGAATACTCACTTGTGACGACGGCTGCTGAGTCTTTAGCGGTCCAGAAGCGAGCGAGGAGAAACACCTTCCTGTGACAGCGTGTTTGCCTGTCTCTCTCTTTGTGTGTGTGTGTGTGTGAGAGAGACGTCCTTCAGAGCCTCTGCTCCTCACACACTTTCCCTCTCTCTGCCTTCTCTGGCCTGTGGCTCACCAGGAGAGCTGAATCCACAACTGCAGGACTCCCCTCCTCAGGCTGGCTGTTTTCACAACTCTTCTAAGGCATTCTTGACAAGTGAGCCCTCCTCCTTTTTTAAAATATTGGTGGGGAAGAGGGGCAATGGAGTGTAACGTGAGATTGCAGAGGAGGAGTCCTGTCGACCACATGTTGGTAGTACCCTCCAAACAACCTTGCTTCATCAACTATTAATCACAGAGGAAATTTTATATGCACATCTAATGGGCTTTCCAGACAAGGGATTTTTAAAGGGACATTGTCTGTAAAATATAAAGCGAGCACCCACCCACAGGGGAGCTGGGGACCGGGACTTGCTTCAGCTCCTTAGCACTTTCTGACACCCAATTTAGTTCCACTTTTTTGACACCCTTCGGTGGAAAGTTAACCCTCAGCCATTTCCTCTGCACCTTATGATCCCCGTCTGTCCGCTCCGATCTAAAATGTCTTTTCCTTTTTTGTGTGCACACTAGTGTAAGGCACACCCAAATCCACCTGGCTGGACTTTCAACAACTTGGAAGTGATAAGAAACTTGGATTTGACATTGGCTATACGTGCGCTCACACCTCTTAAAGATTTTCTCACTTTAGCAAAACACAAGATGAAATATCAGAGGCATACTTCAAAAATACTAGCTCATATTTTCTCTTTGCAAATGCTCTGACTGATGGATGGAGCACTTTCTTCTCTCTTGGCATTAACAGAACTGCAGCTGAAATTTTAAGCAGTAGCCACAGTTGTGTGTGTGTGTGTGTGTGTGTGTGTGACAGGAATCACATGTATATGAACCACATCTGGTTCACGAAAAGGATGTTATTATTCAATTTTCTGATCGCTGATTTTAAAATTTGCACAGGACTCATGATAGAAGCCACTTCTCCATGAAGTAATGTCTCTAATACCATTAAAACCTTGTTGGCTTAGCCAAACTTTGGACTAGATTTCAGCGTATCCATTACCCAATAAACCCTCTCGACCACACTTTACAGATGCACACAGTTTCTGCTCATACTGCTCATATTTTTGAGCTGAGGTTCAGCCTCGCTCCTCGTGTGTCCTCACTTTGCTCCTGACCTTTTAAAATGCTGATGAACACACCTCCATCAGGACCACAGCCAATTAAAGAAGCTGAGATCTGCTTCACAAAGAGGACTCAGCTTCTTGTCTTAAATGGGACATTGGAATATCACCTGACCATCTTCTCTAGATATATTCATTCAAAAATAAGCTCTGGAAAATATAGAGAAATATCTCTAATGCCCCAAAGGCAGAAGGAAATGGAAAAAGTAAAAAAAAGAGACATTAAAAAGCAGCCAAGAGCAAATCTGATTAGGGGGAAGCCAACAAAATTAGGGAGAGGAAAAGATGAGAGAAAATAAAAGAGAAAGTGGGATAGAGGAAGCAGCCGAGAGACCAAAAGAGGAGTGTTTGAGGTCACACACCAAACCCTTTCCATTTACCCAGCAAATTGTTGAGCCATGAAGCATCCCTCGCTTTTACTGGCAGTCTGGGCTTTGGCCACTCTGCAGGGAACAGAGGTTACTCTACATTTGTGGTCAGAGCAGGGCCCATCTGTGTGTCAGTATAAATTATACCATGTGTCTGTGCGTGCTGTTAGAAAAATACACCACAGACAGTTTCCGCACGTGTCTCCTGTGTTTTTGTGAGAGATGAGAAAGTCCCAAAATGTGCAGTGAAAGGATTTAATGAGGTAAGTGCAAATTTGTTTGTAGTTCTGTTTGTTTATAGCATTAGTATCCTATTGAGAAGCAGCTCATGTTACTTCATAAATGCAATGATATTTTGAGCACGGTTAGAGACAAAGAGCACAGTATAAAATGTAACACATATTTGCATTTTAGTGCTGTGTTCACTCTTGGGTCTGTCTGATCACATGTACATTTACTACATCCATGAAGATGAAGATGAAGAAGAAGATGAATCCCTTTCAGCTAATCCCTTTATCTCAAGGCTCACCACAGCTTTAAACTCTGTGATTCTCAGAGTCAATCAAACAGTCACAGTTATAATCATTCCACAAAACATGTCATGCTAACACCCTTCAGCCTTCCAAATTGTTTGGCGTAATGGAGCCTTACTATTTCATCCCATGTGGCCCGGACTGTATTTGAAATTTAAAAATACTCAGTGAAATATTGCTGTGGTGCCAAAACACAGTTTTGGACAGGACAGATTACATTTGTGTTTAACTTAATTATAACCAATGTTTTAAAGGATCACAGTTAGTTCTCCTTGTGTTTACATTTTTGATTGGACCTGGTCCCCTCTGAAATCAAGACTCTGACGTGGGCTACATTTATTTCATATTTTTAGGCTTTTTATTTAATAGAAAATGAAGAGTAGGATTTCAAGTGACACTGTGGCAGAATTGGAACTTTGGACATTCAGGAATATGTTTTTACAATTATGGATCTAAGAATACTCTTTAACAACCCCTAAAATAGGCCACGTCTATTTCAACTTTTCTTTTCCACCAGGTCTGTGATGTTGTGCCACGACTGTGTGTCCGTGTGTGTGTGTACCACGGATGGCTCGTGAGGACCATTTTTATTGGGACACTTTGTCCTTATGTGGGCATTTTCTGTTCAGAATTAGGGTTAGAATTGGGGTGAGTTAAGTCATATTTTATGATAGGTAAATAATTATCTCAAAAACCTTGTGTGCGCGAGTGAAAGAGAGAGAGATTCCACTAAACCCTGACACATTGAACCAGTACTGAACCAAAAAAGAAATACTCTTGGTTTTCTTTACAGTTACACATGAGTAATGGAGATACTGACTGACACAGACAGTGCTGCTGCAACACCGCTGGAATTTTTATTGACAAAGTCATATATTTATTCACTTTCTGGGAGCAGGGGCCAATGCCAGCACCCATGGACAGTTCACTTGTCAATCACAGGGTCCAGCAACCACTCATAGCATTCTTAAATCACTCTTTATATTCATTAATTTAGTGTCTAACTGAGCTGGTCCTGAGTGTGTGGAGCAGAACATGTAAACTCCATACAGAAACTCAGTACCCATATTTTTTCTTTCATTTAGTGGCAAATGTACTACTTAATTATTGAGGTAATTTATTTGAATATACATGATGTACTACTGTTTTAATACTTCAGCTTCCCTGAAGACCTTAATTCTTAGCTTCTCTATGACAGTAAAGAAAATCATTTTGGGTATAAAGAGAAAAACATTCATTTTGTAGATTTAGAAAACAAACTGCCGTAGTCGCAGCCGTAGACTGAGGGTTTTTGCAGTTGCCATTTTACTGCATATTTTGTCAATACACTGTGTCTCAACTACCTCGAGAAATGATGGGTGCATTTTTCAGTGATAAACCAGCTCTTCTTCAGTGAAGTCATGGCATGTGTGTGTGGGAAACCTTTGTTTGGCCAAGGTGGTAGTATGTGAACCCAGAGTCTGCCGTGGACATCATGGATTAAAGACGAATGAGCTGGACATGAGTCACACCTCCCCTCACCCTGCTCACAACCTGTTACTGTCAATCTAGCACTGTGTGTGTGTGTGTGTGTGTGTGTAAGTGGGAGAAAGTGAAAGTATGAAAACTTTCCATAGACATAAATTCAGTGGGTTTTTGTTCAGTGTTCGGCTGTTTTTCTACGTCCACAGCTGTTCCCTGGCAAAGGGATCAAATAATTCAGAGCTACTTTGTCAATTTTTGTGTGTGTGTTTTCATTTGATCCATCTTCGTGACATTGCCAGGATTGGGGCCCTCCATCAGTCTCCTGACTCTGACAAAGTGACCCCCCGCGACCTTGCTTCAAGTCTCTTGGGCTTTGCTCGGAGGTGGGGGTTCCTTATTCCTGCTACTGTCCTGGAGAAATGTGGTGGTGTTGGTGGTGGGTTAGGAACTTCCCAGGTCATTTCCCAGAGAAATCTTTGGGTAACTTTGCAAACCTGTTCTTTTTTTCCCCAATATAAATGAATGTTTTGGGTTTTTTTTCAAAACAATGTCACATGTTATGTCTTTAAATGCAAGTTCAACAGTAGAATACACAGGAATTGTCACTGTTTTTTTGTCATTAAAAATGATTTACCCTTTATGGATTTCTTTGCTTTACGGATACCAGATTACTTTCTATGAGCTAAATATCCATTGCACTTTCTTAAAGAAAAGTATAGTATTTCAGAGAGTGGTGCAGCTTAGGTTGATGAGGTATTACTCTGTTAAGTCAAACCTGTTGTTGCCCTTGAACCACAAATCTAAAGCTATCAGTAACTCCTAATAGCACCGTGCAACAGCCTGTGTAATGTGTGTACATTTGGGCAATTTTCTGTACGAGGTTTCCCTGAATGGGGTGGAAAATAAAAACAGGAAATGAGTAAATGGTTGAAAATAGTCATTCAGAGCCAAGTCAACTTAGGTAACGATTTGCAAATACACAACGTGCTCAGCCAGCAGCTTCAGGCAGAGAGAGATCAGAGAGAGATGGAGTGATTTTTCTTCTGTAGTTTGCCAACAGTGTTAGCTGTGTTGGCTAGGGAACGTACTCTACTGACTATGGCACTCAATGTGGAGGTTCCTCAGCCAGAACAAAAATGCTGCCAGTGGTTTCTGTCTGTAAAAGGAGACTTGAAGAGCGAGGCTAGAAAACAGCTGAGGAAAAATATATTCCATGGTTAAATATAGACTATATATAAGAACTGGACGTAGCTGTAACCAGTCCTCAGCAGAGCACTGAACACATTTCAATGGCATCAAAAGTGTCATAAAAGTACATCAATGAGTAAAGGAGCAACTTATTTGATTTGGTTTCAAATCCATTTAAATATTTACAGCCTTAAATACTACACTGAATTCTAATTTAACAAGAAATAATGACATTTTTGCAAATTTACAGGTAAAAAGCACCTTATACTTGTGCACAAAAGCACGGTATAAGACAGTACATAGGCGTAGATACATCATGTGATTGACAGCTGAATTATCCAATAAGAGTCTGATGTATGTAAATATACATTTATCTTTTTACAAAATGTTTTATTATATTAAGCAAAAAATGCTTTTTAAGAGTGTATCATACGGCAGACTTTCCTGCAGATGCTATAAAGCATGGCCTTCATATAGGACTATTGTTGAGAGGCAGTTAGCAGTAAACTACCTGCTGATTGTCCTGCTGTGTGTGTATGCATCTCTGTGTGTCTGTGTGTGTGTTTTAAGATTAGGATGGGAGGAAGGTCACACGTGCTAATAATCACACATGATTGGAATCAGCTGTTGGCACCGCTCTCTTGCTATTGTGAGGAAATATTAGAGCTCTCGGAGCCCCAGGACGTTCATCATCTCAAATTGTGAGCTTGTTTACCATATTTCTAAAGTTTGAATTTTTCAGCAAATATATCCGACAGTGTCTGACCACACTGCTCTAAAATTATAGGCACAGAAATAAGTCCGGGAGAGAGCATGCAGGTCTCAGAGGGGATCAGTCATTTCACAGCATTGTACTTTCAGCATAACTTGTTATGAATTTGAGTTGATTTATCACACGCACGTACAATTCTGACTGGCTGTTTGTTCACTTGGATGGATTGCGGTAAACAGAACACCTTTTACGACAATTCAGCAGTTTACTGGTGAGACTCCTAGGAGATACCGAGCATCACATGTGTATACTGAACGTTTATATATATATATAAAAGTTTAAATCTCGTTCATTATCCTTTCAGTTCTATTGCTTCCAGGCAATTATAGTAAATGCTTCATGATGTTTACCAGCACTGTGTAAACTGTAATTTTCTACTGGCATGCAGGTAGTTTGCATAAGATTGATTAGAGCATTTTGATTTTTTTTTCTCTGCCAAAGTCAGTTAAAAGAGAGAGTTATTTTTTTTACTTTCTTAAACGGTTTTGCTGTTCCAAATGTATACTATAATGAAAAAAGTGTTTTTTAATTTATTTTGTTTTTCTGCTTTGCACATTGCAGCAAACATTGACTCGTCCTGCAGACTTGCGTTCTACAGCATCCTTTTAAACAGCACTTTGTAGCTTTAGCTCTAGTTCTGTGCTCACTGGTGGAGTCCAACCAGAGGATGTCAGTGTTTAATTGTCTAATATAATTCTAAAACTCTTCTTACTACAAACTATTTTTGATCTACAAGTAAAACAACTGTCGTTTTGCCTCTGTCATACAGGGCACACCCAGGAATCTGAATGGAGGCCTAATGAGTGCTGACATTAGTCTTAATGAAAATGGACATTTGTTGATGTATAAAGTTGATGTACTGCAGCTTTAAATCCAGCGAGTGAACTCTCTCTGACAAGGTGCCATGTGTGGTTGGTTTTTTGATAAAATGCATCTTGTTTTACATCACAGAATAGATGCCTGGTGTAATGACCACAGACACAATGTCCTGTCATATATTTTAGGTCTACAGCTTCCACTTTGGTTACTGTTACAACAATGAAAACAACATTTTTACCTCACAGACACCACACCTCTAAGATAAATGGATCCAATGCTACAATATATGACCACATACTGTATAAGTATGACCAGACCAGTGGGGCCGGGCTACTGATTTCATTGGCAGCAGCAGCAGCAAGGTTTTTTTGTTGTTTTTCTTTTTCACTGCTACATTCTCACTTTACTAAGGGCTGCAGTGTGAGATGAAGGTACTTTCATGGAAATCAATTGAAGAGTGCTCTCTTGTGGTTTAAGGTTGCAACAACTCAGTAAGTCCTCAAACATCTTCCTTCCAGTTGCTTCCTTTTCTTGAGGATGATTTTTCAATTTTTTTTCAGATTTAAATTTTACTTTTAAATGGTTCCTCATGCAGAACACATGGAAGTCAGTGGAACAACCCAGAATCCATTTAGGGTAAATGCCAGGTGATCATTTACCTGCTGTATACCTGGTGTTTTTCAGTTGCTATTATAACAGGGTAAAATTCCCTTTTATAATCTTCTGATTAATCTCATTTGAAACTGATTCAATTGATTAGACTTTATTCATTCCACACTTAGGAAATTTAAAGAAAAAAAAAGAGAGGAGACCAAAATAATGATTAAATGGACTTTAAATTAGAGACAATAAATAAAAATGAACATTCTAAATATATAATAAAATTATATAAAATTATAAATATATAAAATATATAATAAAAAGGTAATAAAAATATAATATACCAAAATTGTTAACTCATTTGATATACTGTGTACTGATGTTAATATAATTTCCAATTTTTCCCAAAGCTAGGTCTTCGTCAGCTTTTAGTCTTTCAGCCTCTTCTTCAAACACCACAACCATGAAGCAGGAGTGTTAGTGTTTACCAGCCAGAGCCCCAAACCCAACTGGACACCACGGTCCGATTAAGAACGGCATTAGCACCAAAGGTTCAAGAGTCGTAACTGTCAAAATCTGGCTGTTATTCAGAAAAGAGAATTTACAACCACTAGGAAAGATCTGACTTTTTTCTACTTCCTAAAATATATTTATTGAAATGCAGTGCTGTGTTAAAATACTTTCCCCGGTGTATAGGATTTTTGAAAGTTCTGTATTTTGGAAGCAAGTTATTCTCCATCAGGGCCAATAATTACAGAATAATAACTCCCTCAACTGTAACAATCAAATTTTGTGTGATGGCTGCAGTGACTGTGCTTTCCACCTTGGCCTTCAGAGCGTTTTTGTTCATTATACTACAGGAACCTGGAGTCATCTAGTTGGTAGCAAACACTTTGTCATCCTACCACTGTGAAACAATGAATAAATCAAACTGAAAGGTGGTCAAGGCCACTGACTGCTCACATTTTTGTGGGTGTCAGGAGTGACTGATTGGTTATGCCTGTTCAGGTGTGTGTGTTTGTGTATGAGTGTGTGTGCGTGTACAGTAGCACTGTTGCGTGTTCATGGATTACCTTCCTTCCTGTCTGCCTCATCTCGTTTCCAAACAGCACAGGGCTAGACTTCCTGCTCTGGGAGCTGGAGCTCTTTGAAGAAGCCTACTGAGCACGCTCAGAGAAAAGTCAGGATCAGGCTGGGTTAACAAACACCACTGAAGGGAATAAAGGCACCAGGCCAAACATTTCACTATAGCAGAACACTACCTCCTTAGAGAATACACCCCAAGGGCACGGGGGGCACCAGGTCCCCGAAGCTGACTGTGGTAGGTTCTAGAACCGAGTTGTTGACATGTAAGGAACAAGGTGGCAAGGAGGCATGTCGGCACATACAGACCACACCCTACAGTATGTAGACCTTAGGCATGGAAAAAAACATTCTGAGACAATGTGAGGAGTTGAACCTCCACCCAAACATTAGGCTGCAGGTAATAAAAATCCCCAGGCGCACACACACAAAAGGAAGAAACATCCTCTTAATGGGTTAGCAGACAGTTTCCCTGCAGATTTACAAGCTGTGATGTCAGCAGAGGAGTTGTTGTGTTTTGTGTTTTTCCTGTCTGAACAGCAGCTTCCTGTTTGTCCACACACATCATTATTGATGTGAGGCCTACTTATATACGTGTGGGAAAGGAATGTAAATGAAATTACCGGATACTGTACATGTGCATTACTCATACATTAAATAGTATATTAGTAATGACTTTCAGAACAACAAGTATTTATGTAGTGGTATTTGTCATCAGAATACGTTGTTCATTACATTCTGAACCCATTTAGAGGATGTTCTGTTACTAGCCTGGTTGTGAGTGTTAAAGTTGTTGACAGTCCATTACAATAGGTCCATGTCTGGTCTAGTTGTCCATACATGTGGTGTCATCACATTTCGACCAACCCATCTCATGCTTTATCTTTAATTTCCTCTAAATTAGACCTGAATCAACAGGGCTAAAACAACAAATTGTTGGTAAAAACATTAACAAGGCAGTGCATGGAAACCTCTGTTTAAATGTGCATTCAATGACTGTTTCTATAAAAGTTTATATGATATTTCTTATCTTCCGTTAAGGCGTTACAAATATAACTCACCACCTCACATGTAATTTGTCTTACTCTCTGTGTGTGTGTTCTTCTTGTCCTAAATGAGTGTGGACATTTCTTGGAAAAAAACTTTGCTGGACACGGCCTGTGCCAGTATTTTTGAAAATGAGAAGTGATGGATGTGAAGAAACATGAGACAGAGACAGCAAACAATAGGACTGAAATAGTCCAAGTCAGAGCAGCACAGTTTCACTCTCAGAGGTTCGTGTGATGAAAGTGAAAAAATTTAACCAAAATGTTGAAAGCGTCCTGATTGGTTAATGCTATTGTCAGATGTATAATGACAGTGTGCCAGTGCCTTAGCTTTCACGCTGTGGGCAGATCAATGCACTGTGTGACACATTGACCGGGTATGAGTCAGCTGACCTGCAATGTGAGATGAATTCCCACTGAAGGCCACCAGAGCGATAATTACCAAGTGTGTAGAAGCATTAGCGTGACACTGAGGTCAAAAGAGGGCACGATATCACGTGTGGTTAAAAAAAATAACATATGCAGCACGAGAACAGACAGAAGAAAACAAATGTCTATATTTAGTTGGCTGACTCTTTTATGGTGATGGATACTGTACTGGGTAAGTCAGCCCTCAATCAAAAAGAGGAAAAAAAGGAATGAGAGGAGGAAGAAAATAAAAATGAAGGGGAGGAAAGAAATTCCAGATGTCAACAATAAACTTTGTCCAGCTCCGGTTTGTGGCCACTGGAGCTTTGTGTACCTGCCCCTGCTAAAGCCATTACCCCTGACTGCAGAGCTAGGGGAGCAGCACAACAAAGCCAGAGCATTCCTGGAAGATCTTCAGTCAGGTCACCAGCATCTTCCTGACAATTCTGCTTCTCACCCTCCTATGGACACTGCGTTAATTTGACAGTGTGGTAAAAGAGGGAAAAGAATCGTGTGGAAAATATACAATGATTGAGTGTACAGAGTGTGTCCTCTCGTTAGGATGTCTGAGTGGGTACTTTGACTTGTGCGCTGAGCAATAGTGAGAACATTAATTCCTGAAGTTTCTAAGAATGTTTACTTCCTGTTTTGGATGAGCAGTAAATACAGTTTGTTTAGTTGCACTGCCAGTCTGTCGCTTAAAACAGAATGTTGCTTCATGTAATGTTTTCAATCCCAGAATTCTCAGGAATCTGGTCCCAATCTATGGCTTTACTGGACAGAAAAAACAGCTTAGTAAAAATATCACTGAGACTGTCTCTCACTTCATGTTGTTGCAGGTTTGTCAAACAGTAAATGCAGTGACAGTGTCTGTAGTCAATGAATGTGGGATTTAATTATCTCACTTTACTGAGTTATTGAATCCAGATAATTTTAAATTATCAACTTGTGTGTCTAAATATTGATGATATTTTTTCATAAAAATAAAATTAATGATTATAACTCAAAATAAAGTGTTTTGAATTTGGAACTACATCTGATCCTTTATAGAGTTTTGTCCCTTTTTGATCATTTTTTGTTTTTAGTTTTTTACTTTTACAAAAATTGTGCAAAAGTACTTGTGTAAGACAACATGCTACACTGAAAAGATGATGACTGAACCTTAACAAACATTAATATTCACCAGAGGTTCTTATAAAGTACATTTAATAAAATGTTTAAATTTTAAGAGTTCCTCACATTTGTTTTTACTAATGTAAGTATTCTGTTTGTGTGTGTTTTTGTTCTTTTACTTCTATGTCAACCGTGTCTAACTCTCTGTACATGTTGTTTGTCGTACAGGAATACTTTGACAGTGGTCTACAGGAAAATGGTACAATCATGCAGTACTTCAAAAAGCCCTGTTCAGTTTGTTTGTCACCTCTGTAGATGGACATGCTTCATTATCAAGACTTCTCTGTGTTCTCCTTCCCATGGCAGAGCTTCGACCACAGTCACCCACCTCCCCTCTCCTCCCTCACGCAAACTCCCTCTATGTAAAAATCCCTCCTGGAGGGAGAAAATGGTCCACATCACTTTCACTTTGATTTGAGATGAACCAGACACTGCTCGCTGAGTGTTGTATAATGCGAAGATGATGTCTGGGTGGCTCTCTCTCATGCACCGTATCTAACCACTGGCTCCCTCCGGGGTTCTCTCTGAGATGTTTTGCAACCACCAATGAGAGACAACTGCCAAACAAGCCCAAGGAAATCCGAAGCTGTGTACTAGAGTTGTTACACCACTCACTGCCAAAGACATTAGCTCTGATTATACTTGCTGTGTTTTGTTGGGGTAAACTCACTCTTTGCGAAGCAATTGTCAGAGCACATCTCTGAGCTGCTCTGGGAACAGCTCAGGTTCACTATGGTGGAGGCTGTTGGGCTTCTTGCAGCCCACCACCACTTGTTTTCCCATTGGTATGATCTTCAAAATACTAAATATGAAGTGCATCATGGTGGTCTCTCCAAGTAAACATTTTTAGATAAAACAATTACATCATTAGTTCCAAAAATGCAATATGCTATACATTAAGATACATTATAATACAAGTTGTCATTACATCAATAACGCATACAGAATATAATTTAAAAAGAAACACAGTGGTGCTGTTTTTGTTTCTCTATGAGACTTTTAGCAACATGGATGCAATGTGGTCTGATAAAGATAAAGGGGGATAATTAAGAACACAGTGCCAAACTGGTATTTGGGGGTTTAGGTAGAAGATTATTTAGTGTGGAAATGGATAGAAATCAGTGCAGTCTTAACTGGGATGTGACCTCAAAAACTAGTGTATAAAATATAAAATAAAACGGCAACAAATAATAATAATATTAATTGTGAAGTTATCCTCATATATTCATTAAATTAAAAGACGATCAAAATGTACAAGCTGTTAAAAAGACATTATGTATTGGGTTGATATTTAAAATAAAAAAAAATATTAAGCGTGTACTCGAGTCGTTTTAATATAAACGTGAGGCAACAACGGCGCAAGGAACAGTAGCTGCCACGACGAAGAATTGATACAACACTGCCCTCTACCTAATATAGTGAGAAGTGAATGTAAGTATTTGGAAAGTTTACGAGAATTTTCGTTTATATTTCATAAAAATACTAATATTACTGTAACCTTGAATAATATGTAATTCTAACTTATATTTCTATATTTGTATTTCTAAATTAGTAATGTCTCTCATTTTTAACTTTTTATGTTTGTTTGTTGTTTTAAAAGTTTGTTTGTTCCTCTAATCTGTGCTGTGTTGGTTTTCTATTTGTGTAGTGTTGCAATAACAATAATAACAATAATAACAATAATAACAGTATGCTGTTGACGTCACATAGCACTAATTAATTTTATTGACAACACCTGCACTTTTCACCCTGTGACCTGGCCTATAACGTAACATTTTTCTTAGTTCGTTCTCATTTCTTTGTATTTTTTCGTTTATTTGTACTTTACTTTTAATCACGTAGGTCCATTAGGAACTATAAAATAATGATTTTTAAACGTAGAACGTAGACAGTGTCACGTTTATTTTACCAGCGTCGGTAAGGTGGACGTAGCGTCACAGGTGGAACCGTAAACGTTGATGCAGTTGTACTTTTGCTGTTGGACTAGATCTACATTTACTTGGTGAGTACTTAGTTTAAAATCACCATGGATTAAGTTTTCAAAAAATATTAAGCTATTCACGTCGGTTTCATTAGCATTTGTTATAATTTAATGCGCAAACAAACACAAACAAACATCGACAGGTGATTCTTCGGACCTGTATTTTGTCTCACTTGAATTATGCTAATGTTATTTTAGACAAAATGTCAAACAATTTAAATTAGGGAACCCTATGTTTTGATGTTGACGATATAATGATATACATGATTTAGAAAACGTAAGTGTTTTGCTTTTAGCTGAATGGAATAGTAGCTACTAATAAATAATTTTAATAGCATATTACCAGCAGAGAATCTAGATGTAAAATTGTGTGTACTCAACTAAAAGGGGCTGGAGCCACATCAACTGCTAATGTGTTGTTTATTTGTGTTTCTTTTTAACCGTTTGCTCTGTATTAAGCAAAGTTAAAATGTTGGAGCTCTATTTACATACAAAAAGCTTTGTTTTCACTGCTGCAACTTTTTCTTTGCGCATAAAGTCCTAAAATTAGAAGAAAAAAAGAACTGGACCAATTATGTGATGCAGTGTATTTTGTAAAGTAATTATGATACTACGAAATGTCAACTGGAAGTATTTCAATTTAAATTAAGATAATCCGTTTTTGTTTTTTGTTTTTTTGTTGTTGTTTTTCCACATACATACACATATAACAGGAACTTTGCTGAAGTGGAGGCAACTCAACCATCAGGTTGTGTCATCACATGTTCTCCTGCCAGGGGAAAAAGTACTAACCCAAACACAGTAAGCATTCCCTGTTTATGTCAGAGTTCACAGTCCTGCTGCAGCCCTGTCCAAGAACTGGAGATAAAAATGCTCACCCACTGGGCAGCAATGACTTCAGCATGTTTTGTCAATTTAATTGAACAGCAATTGTTCACAAAGGTTTGGAATTCATCTATTTTTAATGAGTCACTTTGTTTCTCTGTGGTTTATTCAACAAGAAATGGACCTCTGGCAACAAGAAGTGAAAAGTTTCTGTGAACTTTTCTTTTTTAATGAAACAACTTTTTTTTTGTGGGACACTAGGGACCCTGGTCTTGTCCATTGCTTTGAGTCATTCTTGCCAGATAATTTTACAAGCCCCAGTGAAGACAGATCTGACAGGAGGGAGTGGGGGAGAGAGAGCACGGGAGAACATTTAAGTGAGAGAGAGATGATAGAGCACCGCTACATGTGCCAGAGAGAATAGGAGTTCTCCTGGAGGCCAGCGCTAAATCCCAGCCAGAATAAAGGCTTTGCTCCGACCTTTTTGCTCCCTGCAGGGAGAGAGAGTGATGGCTTGATGTCAGAAAGAGAAGGAATGAGTAGTTAAACCTCAAACTCTTCTCCTTCTCCAGATCCAGCTCCTGCAGGTCAGGTGCACTGTGGAGCCTGGGTTATGCAAAATCATATGTTGAGTCTGATTTGTGCATTCTTCTCGTTGGGCCAAACTCTTATTGACACGCTTGTCAATGCCAATAGAAACAGTTGAATTTCCTCTTCCTGACCCTGTGGATGGCGACATGTAAAGGTTTTTTCCAACCTGGTTGGAAAGACAGCAGTTGGCCAAATGCAACTGTCTTTATTGTGAATCTCCATCGCAGACTCTGCAGCTAAATGTTGGAAGCTTCCTCTGACTGTGATTGAAACAGACATCACTTTTAAAAAACTCTTTAGCATGAACTGAGCTAAAGGGGCGGGGGATATAAAAATGACAGATTAATAAGTGCTGTAAACCTTAAGCTCTCAGTGTAACATTTCTGGAAACAAACAGTGTTTAATATGGTCTTTTTATGTGGTCATCTATGAACTCTGAACACTTTTTCACTAAAATATATAATATTTCACAGAGATGTCATGTGAAATAATACATTACATTAAACAGTTGAGAAATATCAAAAGTTTTATCTATATACTCAAAGTGTATTTTTGGGGATTGGAGAAAATCTCTTGAGAAAAGCTTTAGTGCGATGTACTGTATATTAGATTGGTTGATTAGTAAACGTGTTTCATTTAGATGTTCAGAAAATTACACAGAATTTAATTAACTAAATTACATGTCTTAAAAATGGTAGGTAGCATGAAGCTTTTCTCCTCTCAAAGTTTACTTTAAACTTTTAATTATTTACTACACTTGTTAATTTGTACATTAGATCTATACTGTTTATTAATCTAATTTTCTAGTTTCTTTTGTTTAATTAATACATATTACTGTATCAATGTTTCCATTATCTAGCACAGTTAATAAATTAATGTTGTATTTTTTAAAAATCACTTTGTAAAATGATTTTATTTTTGTATGAAAAAAGATTTGATGAGGGTTTTTTTTTTTTGTAAAATGTTAGTTTAAATATACAATCAGTATAAAAAATTTAACAGGTGAAGGATTCCTGATAACATTATTCATTTGAAAATCATTTTCTTTGTAATTGCCAGTTTATTGGGCGAACTGTGACTCAACAGGGACCAGAACCAGGTCACATGATGCTCAGAGAGGAACCTGATGTTTGGATTGCACCAATCTTCCCATGTGAGCCTGACCCAGTTTACGCCACCCATGTACTGCCTTCTCTTCAACATCTGTCTCCAATTCACAGTAAGTCAACTGAGACCATGACCACTCATTATTATAAGACAAATTACTCTTGTGCTTCACACCAGTCCGCTTACGTCATAGTTGTTTATGCTTTTTTTGACAATGAGTCCTGTGTTGAGTGAAAAGAGTTTGTGAAATTGTAGGTTTTATTTTCCAAAATGATCTCACTCACATGCGTTGATCTGTTCAGAGAGTGAAGACAAGAAGGACCTTTTTAGATCATTGTTCTTTGTTCAGGGGTCTGCTGTGCTGAGGGGTCAGCAGCACTTTTATTGCATCTTCTCAGCGAAGGCCAGTTTAATGTGAACAGACGTGGTTATACGTTGTGTGACCACAAGTGGGAGCTCTGTGACTATGCATTTATCCCACTCGCTTGACTTTGACCGATGTTGTAACTACAGGGGATCAGAGTTTGGAGAAAAGAACAGAACCAAAAATGATTCTCGGCTGGAGTCCAACACATCACTCACATGTATGTCAGAATGTACTTCTAGAATACTGCCATGTACATTTAGGAAACAAACCTCTTCCACAGGTATAGGTCTCCTCTTTAAACATATATCCACTGCTTTTTACAGTGGACTTGAGAAGGCCAGTTCCTTTTCACATCACTCAGTTCACATAGGGATTGTTGCAACTCTTGGACAGAAACAGGCTTCAATCGATCTAGTAAAAGTCCTGTGATGTGGTGGCCTGGTCAACCTCTTACAGGTCTGTCTCCAGGGCCGACTTGGATCTGTGCTTTGGATGTCTTTCACACACGGCTCACACAGTCTGTTTCAACATTTGTGAACTTACTGCGTCTGTCGCAAGAGGACATTTTCACATCTGACTCAGTAAACCAGAGTTGTCTCAATGCTCGCTCGTGTGCGTCCAAGTGAATATGTAATTGCAAAGTCGGAAGTGGGTTGCGTGTCTGTGTGACGGCTTTTGTGCACTTGTTTGCACAGTTTCAGCCCTGGAGCACCAGTTTTGTTAGGTCTTGCAGGATTTCTGTACTACTGTCTCGACCTTCTTTCCCCTTCGCTCATCACTCTGCTACGGCCAACGGGGGAGGAATAAACCTCGCCCACTAACCAACACACACATTCACAGACAACTTATACTTTGCACCGACTCTAGTACAGTTTCAATGAACTTTAGATAAACAGGCAAACTCGAAGAGAATTTATCATGAAATATAACAGGATGTGGTCACAGTCCATCATGTATGTCAACTCCTCCAGTTAACATCCTCTACGCATCTGAATGTGAATAGGCATAGTTGCCTGGTAGTGAAAAAGTTCCTAATGAAGCGTACCAACTGTTTGTCCAAAGTTTGACAGACTCTGTAGACACTGTTCTGTTAGGAACCACTGAAACAATAAAATTACAGGATCAATTCACATCATCTACAGCTAAAGCTCCAATAAAACACAAGGAGCCAAAACATGTAAAAACAAATATTTGCTCTAGTCTAGGTTTGCTTCTGTCCCCCTGGTGCCATTTTACTACTCGACCCACTTTCTGTTCCTCAAGAAAGAGAAAAAAAAAAAAAAAAACACTCTTCACCCTTGGAATGTTATCATAAAAACTGACTAATTTGCCTTGATTACATTAATATTTTTTTAACTTAAAATTGCCCTTTTCCCCTTCCTATTGCTTTTGTTTATTTTCTTTCAACGCCCGACTCTCTGCTCCTTTTTTTCTCTACATGCATTGGTTTCACTATTAGCACACAATTTGGAGCCATTAGTCGTCAGACGGATGCCCTCAGTTTCCTGTATGAGTGTGTTGTGATGCATGGGTGCTCCTGTTTAGGTCATAATGCAAAGAGAGAGTGAAGTTGTGCTGTATATATGTATTGTGGGGTTTTTTTGTTTTTTTTTTTACAAATAAGCCTTTAATCTAACAGTTGATTTTAGTTTCAACCCTGTTGCTCTAAGTTGCTTTAGCCAATTTAATTTTGGGACAGGATACATTTCTTTTTGTGCTGCTTGGAAAACTCTTCTGATCTAACAGCCTCTTCCTTTTGTAACTGATTGCTGATAGATGGAAAGATGGAGACATAACAGCAAAGGAAATGTCATCTGTACAGACACCCCCGCTCATATCTTCTGTGGAAAGTTCAATTCTCTTCCATTCTGTTTTGTCTAAAATCCTTTTCTCATATAATTAAGCCTCCCAAAGACCAATTGATGGAAACCGGAGGTTACCTCAGGTCTGTGGCTCTCAGAGATGTGCAGAGAAACAGCAGAGGGTGTCTGACGAGAGTGGGCCAGGTGGGAAATTACAGCCCAGTCATATTTCAGACACTCGCATGTCAGCTTGACATGTGACATGATTTTCTGAGGCAGTGAATCCCTTTACTGCTCTTTGTGTTTGAAGAGCCTCCGCTGGCTTGGGTTAGATGTTAACAGGCGTTTGTCTGTTTTGTGAATTGGTTGCAGCTGCATCACGTCAGAAATACACGTTACTTTTTGACGTGGGTCGTAACACCGCTGTGATACACTGCATCGTTTGGAAACACATGGTGCTCACAACCTTGACCGATACCTTGTAGTGCTCAAGGACTTGGACTACATCAAAGTTCTTTAGCTGGAAAATCCACTAAAATGTAACTTCATGTTTCTGCAAAATTAAACAACATATTTGATGTGGATGAAGACATAATAAACTTATAGAACACACAGAGAAAGAAAAACAAGTGTCACAATATTAGATTTACAATGAGTTGTGATGAGATGAAACAGAAGAAAGCAAACAAAACAAAATTGTTTAAGAAGCTATTGTGTCACTTTTATGACCATTGTTCAATGTAAAAGAAAGATGGTAATTGTGAAAATATGTTTATATTAAAAGTGGATTGTACATAAAGTATGACTAATTTACAACTACCAAAATATTAGATTGCCCGCAAAAGTGTTAACCTACAGTCCTGCTAATGTTAGGTGTATCTCAGCGAGATATGCTAATTCTGGAGCACTTCACTCTGGCATATTGGCTCTCTGTGTGACTATAGGCAGGACTGGTGTCTGTTGGTGTAGTCTGCGTGTGCTGTGCGTGTGGAGCTGTCTTCACAGAAAACCAATTGGGGATTGGCTTATTCATCTAAATCGTGGCACTCTTATCTCTTCCATTTCATTATCTCCAACATGGTAAATTGCTGACTTCCAATCACGCTTCTTTTCCCTTGAGAGCGAAACTTTTCCCTTGTAGGGGTGAGTGTGCTCTGACTTCCCTTTTAAACTTAGAACGGCCCTAAACTCAACTCTGACACGCAGGAAATGCCCGGAGGAATTAATGAATATTCACCAGACACGGGGCCACAGACCCGATATTCATCCTACAGCTACATTACTCTTATATATTATTTTAACTGATGGGACTGTTGTCCATACTTAACCTACAAAGTGCTTCATACTATATAAGCTAAATAAAACTATTATTATTTTATCAACTATAATAAAATAGAAGAACGTGAAGACCTTCAGGGAGTACCGTTCTGAGAGTGGCCAGCAACATCACCAGTACACTAAGATTCAGTAACACTGAAGATGACCACAAAAATGTGCTTATATTGCCCTGGAGAACAATTTTGATGAATGATACACCACCACTGTGTGTACATCATTATATTGGATTACATAAGGAACCAGAAGTGACATTGACATTTATCTAAGTCCTTGAATTTTTTCAAGAAGAAATAACAGATGATTTTTATATCCTACATGATTCGCTCATTGTTCCTTTACAGAGGTGAGCCGACCCAAAATTACTAGTTTGACATGGGTCAGACTTTGTCTTTCCTGTACAAGCACAGAACGTTGTTGATCCTTCAGGGCCTTGTTGTGACACTGCACGCAAAACATCGGATGAACATGTCGCTGTTTGATTTTCCCATTCGATCTCATAGCCTCAGCTTTCCTTGGTGGCCCTTTGGTGTGGAGGCCCAACACCACATGTTGTATCGTGGTTAACCAAAGGCTAGCCACTTGAAAAGAACTTGAACTGATGCTAACCATGTTGAACTAATTCTCTGGTTGAGGATGAGAGAACCTGATGGATTGATTGCTTCACCGCAAACATGATCTGTTTAACCTGGCAGGGTTACAGAGTGGTACACCACACTGGCCAGATGCAACAAGAGTATCTGTTGATATCTGTTAGAAGTGGTTACTTTCTGTCAAATTTGTTCTGAGAAGAGAGAAAAGAGAAGAAAATTGAAAAAATGAAGGCTAGAATCAAGTCTAGAATAGCAAACATCAAATATGTTGTTAAACTGATTGATTTCAATCACAGCCATATAGATTATGCAATAAAAATGTAGTTGTTCCATTGCAGTTAGCATTTCTAGCAATGCTCTGTTGCTTTGTGCTAGTGGTTAGTCAGAGGTTTGGTGAGTTCAAGCAAAAGTTGACCTGGTACCATTTTTACAAACTGATACAATGACAAATGTTTATTTATTTATTTATTTTTTTTTGTATTTCACTTACCACCTTAGGTCTGGTTATAATAAATATGCAATGAACTGGAAGTCAGTGTTATATACCTGGCACAGCTCTTTGAGAAATGGGGTGACATGCAGTCTGTAGGTATGAGCTCAACTCAAACCACAGTGATGACATCAAGAAAAACACTTGCAGTCAGTTTTATTTTCTCATCTCAACAGAAGGCTATTACAATCTGAAAGGAATCATTTCTATATTAAAAGAAAGGTCTTCAAACTGATACTGATGTACAAAGTTGGTAAAGTAACTAACTAACAGACAAGGTGAGGCATATTCTCCTCATCCATTCACTGTCATTAAAATGAGATTAGATGTTACAGTAGTTTAACACTAAGGTAAGTCTTCAGGTGTTTAAGTTGTTTTGTACTCTAAAGGAAACAAATGTTATAGTAATCCTTGCTCCTGTCATTGACAATGTTGACCTATTTAAACCAACTACGCTATATCAGATCACTGGATCAGCTCAAGTTTTAGGTTGAAGTATTGCACCTGATTTTCCTACTGGAATTT